CGGGGCAAATTTATCAAACAGGGTCATTCAAAGGACAGTTCAACAGATAACAGGTCAACCCATTTACTTTAACGGTGCGGGGGGAGGTGTCACACCTTCACAGGCTCCCAAGCCTCTCATCCTACTCACCAGCTAATCCAGCTCGATACTGTCTAGTGATTACACACTGATGTGTACACCCATGTAGTATGCATGTATTCTGGTCTTTGTAGTTGCTGCCATAATAGACACATGAGCCCCTATGACCCAAGGTCCTACTGCAGTTGCTGGCACTGAGACCTCCCTGCACACACATGCTACTGCGGTTGCTGGCACTGAGACCTCCCTGCACACGCATGCACACAAAATAGAGAGACCCCGCACCCACGAAAATAGCTAGAAATAGTATTTAATAAGAAAACTGGACAGAGTGCTGTGATAGGCACAGTCCATAGCCAGACAAGCATACTGACCAGTAACACGTTTACACACAATTGGCTCCCTTTAGCCCCATATCCGTCTTGGTTCACCACCCTTGTTCCTCCCCAAACTACATTGATTCCTCCTTTTCCATGCCTTTGGTTCTTCCTCTCAACATCCCGTGATGTCTTCTATAATCCACAAATGCTCTCCTCTTGCATCCCATAATAAGTCCCATACACCTGTAGGCAGTAACCCCCTCAGTGGAGCCTCTGCCATTGACTCATATACTGGGTTTAAACCGTGACCCCTGGGACTGATCACTCCCCTGTAACAGCCCTGGTAGGAGCTGGGTCAAGGGCTCTGTTTCTCTGATGCAGTTACTGGGGTTCCCCCATCTGTCACTATTCCTCTGTGCTCCTTTGTGTTTGTGGGGATGAATCTTTAATCAAATAATTAATCACTATGGTCCCTCCATGAGGAGTATTCTAGACCCCCAGATGGGGGAAGGCATTTTCAGTTCAAGAGCTTTTCTTTTTGGGTACAAAGGCTGCAAGTGTCTGCTGACCTAGGATAAAGTTGTGCCAAGATCTAGGCTTGGTGCAGGACACCCAGGAGAAGGAGGTCTACTCATAAGCAGTGTGGAACAGCAGAAGGTGGTGACATAATTTCCAACCAAGGAGCCAGTGAAAAGGAGGAGAGGCAATTTTAACCTACCTGTACTCAGAAGACTCTCAGAAGAGTGAATGTCTGTAATAAGCTTTTTGAGACGTTCAGATCCTAGGTCTCCTCCAGGTCTTTAGTCAACACACAGGCTATGATCAGTAGAAAGGGAAAGGAATGAAATTCAGGTCTGTATAGACAGGAGGAAAGACTCAAAAAGTCATCTAGGTAGCATCTTTGTAGCCAGGAATCTAAATTTCTCCATGAAAAAAATGGAGTAAAAGCAATCATTAAAATCTGTTTCTACATGCAGAAAACAGGGCAGACCAAATAGCTCTCTCAGTGCCATGAAAAAGCATGAGCTGCTTTATGAACTGAAGCCAACACCATTCATCTGTCTTTTTTTTGCGCAATACCCATGAAGATTGTCATGACTTCCATGTCAGTTCAGGAACAGCTTTCCTTGGACTCTTGCTGAGGGCAGAGATGCCTCCTTTCTAGGAGTGTTGCTGACCTGCTTTAACAGGATTGGAAATACGCAGGAAAGCATTTGTTGTACAGACTCCTTGAACTGCAGAATGGACAGCATCTCAAAGATGTCAGATTATCTACAGAAAAAATTAATTAATAGTGACCTGTTGAAAACGAGCATTTCCCACCATTGCCCTACTTGCCCAGTTGACTTCCGTTATCTGGAATTCTGACTTCACCACCTTGCAATTGGGAGCTGCAAACTGTCTGGGCTTCCCACACTAATAAAAATGCAAGTGATCTAGCAGAGCATACTGTGAGTCTTCACGTGGATTTGCAAGTGCACAAAACTTTCTCATCACAAAACTTTCTCATTCCAAAATAGTATGTGGAAGTGAGATATAAGAATGATGTATTTGATCCACAAGCAACAAAGCAAAGAAAGAATATCTGTGGAGAAGGGCCTCTGTAACAAGACTATGTTATACTACTAGCTTTCACTCAATGCAATCTCATCTGAAGGAGGCAAAGTATGTCTGTTGTACAACAAACCATGCGAGCTTCCAGAGCTTCCATAGCAGTCTGATTATTGTTCGTGTCATGTCAGAGAAATTAGTCCTGATGTTGTCTGCTGGATTCTTTAATTTGTCCATTGAAAACTTCAGGAACTAAATAGAAGTCGAATCCGTTAACGGTTTTCAGTAGCAGATCGACCGCACCAGTTAAAAGGCGTGCTGAAAGGCTTTATTAAACGCTGAACCATCGATCGAAACAGGTTCCGGGAGCAAGAGAGGATTTCTTACTCTACGTTGTCATAAATCCATTCAGTAGATAACAACAAGATAACTTTTGAATAACTATATTAGCAATGTCTCATTTACATATATTTACAGAAACTTTCTACCATGGGTGTAATACGTACACGCCACATAGGTATATTGACACCACACCGGGATGACCAAGGGTACAGACAGACAGAAATAGTTGTAGGAAAGAAAGATAGATGCCCGGAGAGGCCACGTTGGGCAGACGTGCCTTCTCCTCCCCTCCGGTATGACACCGGGGGGCTGCGTAGGCCGCAGGAGGGAGGTGCGCCATGCCCCAAGGAACTTACGAGTTTGAAGTAGACGGAGCTCTCGCCTGGGTGGCCGCCAGCCGCTGCCTCGGCTCCAGTGCCGGCGTCTTCAGCGGGGGTTTAGCCTTTACCAAGGCTACTCGGCTCCTTCTGGCCTTTAACAAGGCCGCCGAGCGTCGTCTTCCCCGCGCGGAGCTCCTCGTCGTCTTGGATTTCAGCTCGCCGCCACCACAACAGCGAAACAGCTGTTCTTTGTAGCCCCAAAGCAGCGGGCCACGTAGTCATAGGCTTTCACGTGGCAGTTTGGGATTGGTTCATGTTGGATGCCTTTATGCAAATTGCAGCCACTTTGGCAGGAGCAGGAGGTGCGGGCGCGTGCTGCTTGCCGCCTAGTGCGGACCTGGTTGAAGGCAGTCGCCACTAGCCCGGGGTCGAACATGGGGCAACTTTCTAGCATGTTCTATGAGAGGGAATAAACTGCCACAGCATCTACTAGGCATCTTCCACAACCCCAGTGCATCCCTGCAACTTGGCAGAAGTTTACACTCGGTTCCTTACGCTTTTTTACCTGCAATACCTTAGAGAGATATTCCTTGTCTAGAATAGAGCTTTATGAGGCTAGGTTATTGACAAATATGTAAGAATATGATCTTGCAACATTCAGCTTTTACTCTGAGGGAGAAGAATGACCTGCTTCTTGACAAAATTCCCCTTAACCCAGTGAAGGTGTAGAGGAAGTGAGGAATGGTATGCCTGTCCACTGGCAGATGTTTCTGGAAGAGGCTGTTGATCACTGCCTCTAGGTGATATTGGACTAGGACAGATACTGCATGCAGTAAATGTCTCAGGCTATCCTGCTGTCAAATAAGTTTAAACAACAATCAGGATTTCTGGCATCGGAATGGAACACAATAAGAAAGAAAGATAATCCTTTCATTCTTTCCTATTCCTTCTCTGGAATCCAAACAAAATTGTTAAGTAAACGAGCTATTCCCACTTCCCTGACATTTCTTCAAGATCTGTCCCTAAACTGCACCCCTATCTCTGTGCTCAAGCCTTGGCTCACTTGCAAGGGTGTTTCTTTTGGCAGTTACAGACATGTAAACACACTTAGTAATTCCTTCCTGGAGTATTGTTTTTCCCCATTCCTGCAGAAAAGTGATGGTCTACTCTCTAGCTGCCCTACTACAAGTGGGTCTAACAGCATGCCATCCAGGGTGGTGGCAACGAAGTGAGTGGCTTGGTCTATAGGAAAGTATTTGCAAACAATCTGGACAGAAATCATGAACAAGGCAAACTACATCAACATTCTGCTTTGACTCAGGATAGAAAACTTAAGCAGGGTGTCTTCCCTAAGCATGAAGGTTGCAGTAGTCTAACTGTGGATTCTGCTCTTTTACATGTTATGTAACTGATAAGTGTTAGAAGATTTCTAGTGCCCTTACCTCTGTCTTCCACAGTCATACTGATGCTATTAGACAACGGCTCTTGTAACAAGGCCTGACAGAAGGCACTTTAGCTCCTACAGCCTTCATGGGACATCTTTTTATTCACTCCTGAAGAAAAATGTGGTGGTTTACACCCACGTTAAAAAATCTCTTTAACACTGATGATCATCCTGAGCTTGTCTCCCATCACATCCTCCTAGGCAAGCTCAGGAAGCACGGGCTGGATGAGTGGACAGGGAGGCGCATTGAGAACTGGCTGGAGGGCACAGCTCCGAGGATTGTGGTCAGTGGCACAGAGTCTAGCTGGAGGCCTGGAGCTAGCAGTGTCCCCCAGGGGTCAGGCCTGGGTCCAGTCTTGTTCAACTTGTTCATCAGTGACCTGGATGAAGGCAGAGTGCACCCTCAGCAAGTGTGCTGATGATACTAAACTGGGGGGAGTGGCTGACACACCAGAAGGCTGTGCTGCCCTTCAGAGGGACCTGGAGAGGCTGGAGAGGTGGGCGGAGAGGAACCTCATGAAGTTCAACAAAGGCAAGTGCAGGGTCCTGCCCCTCGGGAGGAATAACCCCAGGCACCAGGACAGGCTGGGGGTTGACCTGCTGGAAAGCAGCTCTGCAGAGAAGGACCTGGGAGTCCTGGT